AAGAAAGAAAGAAAGAAAGAAAAAAAGAAAGAAAGAAAGGAAGGAAGAAGTAAGTCTTGAATTACACAAGGTAATTCCTGATCATTCTTCTGATTGGTCTAATGCTGACCATAATCCTCCATAGGGATCCAGATCTCTTTAAATACTCTGGGGGAAGAGGATAACAAAGAGGGCTCAATGAGGAAAGTGCTCGCCTCACAGACAGAAGGATGTGAGTTTGAATCCCCAGTACTCACTTAAAATTAGCCAGATTCAATAGCTCATGTCTAAAATACCCACGCTGAGGATGTGGAGATAGAAGGATCCCAGGGGGCTTTCTGCCTAGCCAGTCTAGCCAAAAGGTTCATTGAGAGATTCTATTTCAAAAAATAAAGTGGAGAGTGACAAGGAAGACATCCTGATCCCTGACACCAGCCTCTAAACCACACACACATACACACAGACACTAGCAAGCTCACTCAAGTTTGTGCACACAGTTACTCACACATGCACACACACATATGCACACACACACACAACACACTCTCACACCTGCATGAGAAAGTCATATCCACAGTTTATGTGGCTGCATGTTGCTCTGCTCTATATTACTGGTTCTGTCCAATTGTGTTTTGTTGTATTCTCTTCTGAAAGATTAAAGAGGAACACTAGCACCCTGCTGACGAGCCAGCTGAGACAGACAAAAGGATCACTTAATAAGCCAGCCCTGTAAGCCAGGAGTCCTAGTCCCTGGGCGTTCCACATGAAGTACACCTAATTCCAGGACATCCCAATATTGCCAGTGGGAAGTTCTGATCCTGAACTCTGGCCAGTGGCTGAGAGAATATGAGTGAAACCCCACCTGCTTTCTCTAAACTAGGCCCTATCAGAAGTCCCACAAACCAGGGACATGCAGGTAAGAAAGGGGCACATTGCCCTTCTACTGGTGGGTTGGAAGGACTCCACAGCCAAAACACAAGGTACTGTGTGGTTCCCAAAATAGTCAGAGAGGTGCCTCCTACACTCGATCCCTGACAGGAACACCAGACCTCAGACTCTCCTGCCCTGAGCAGGTTAATAGACCAAGCTGCCCTTAGGAACCTCTCACCTACCTGCTCAGAAGCATGAGCCCTGCCAGCCTCCCCCAGAGGCGGAGCCTGCAGCCAGAGCTGCTTTCAGTTTCAGTTCCTGGAAATGGCTAGTTTTCAGGATTCAGCTACAGGCTCCACATTCTCCTTCAGAGCAGGGCAAGATCTGTCAGATGGCCAGGCTTGGGGGTGGGAAGTCTGCCCAGGAGCAGAGACGTCCAAACTGCCAGTCCGGGCCTCCTAGTGTGACCCTGCTGCCTCCCTTCCTCGCCTGCTCGGATGACGATGGTGCCATGTTGATACCTGGTGAACCTGATCGTCTGGGGACTGGGGACCCTGAGGCTGCTGGCCTGCTCACTTGTTCACTTGCTCCCTCCCACCCCACTCAGCCCAGGAACAGAAATTCCATCTACACAGAAACTTCTCTGACCTGCTCCAAATCTGACATCTAGCCAGGATCAAGGCATGTGGCCTCCTTAAACTGGCCTCCTTCTGCCTCCTCCTTGTGCATTTCTTCAAGTTCAGAGGGGGGAAAAAAGATCACTTTCCTTTGTAAGCTCACTTGTCACTTCCTGGTCAACATCTTTGTTCAGGGGCATGCCCTGGACCACTGAGGTGCCAGGCAGAGGGGAATGAGCTGTTTTCCCTGCATTGCTGTTTAGCAGAACAAGACACAGTGGCTGGGGGGGCGGGGGCCGA